CATATTGCGAGTTTAATTAATTGCTATTCTGCTTGGATAAACCTGCCGTGCCACCATTTCATTCATTGCTCATACATGCTGTCAATTGCTGGAAACATTTGCTTCAGACTTTCTCCAAAGTTAAGATTCTTACCACCTGAAAAACGCCTGAATCAGCCTGGACTTCTGCCTGGGGACAAAATGTAAAACTTGTACCTGTGTGACATAAATAATCAATGAATCATTACATCAATAAAACATAAAGCACAATGATGTAAGATTTATGGGCGAGAGGTGTATGACAGCGATACAAAACAGAGAGAGTGACAATCTAGCCTCTAGCCTCTAGCCTCAGTTGGTAGCCAAGTTCTGGCTACCGCGTCAGTGTGACGGTTTGCCTCTCCTAGACATGTAAAGTACACACAAGTAGAAGGTGCATTAAGAAGAGCGACAAAGTCCACTTAGCGTGGTGGTCAGGGTGGATTTGTCAGTTAACTGAATGAATAAAAATGCACAACACAGGACACTGAGGCAGGGAGTTAGTGCAAAAGAATATATTATAACAGTAGTTAGGGAAGGTTTGGGGAGCAGACTCCTTTGAGTCAGTGGGGAGTTGAGGCTGAGCTGGAGGTTAAAGCAGAGCAGAGGAAGACAGTGAAAGAGCCAGATAGAGCTAATCCAATGATCCAAGTATATATCCAGAGTCTTGGTCCAGGTAGTGTTTTGTGCAGGAATGGGTTAAAGGCAGGTGTCTGGTCCTGTGTGAAACCAAAATATACTGAAAACAGCCATCTGTCAGTCAGAGCAACCGTCCTCTTATTTATGCATAAGTTTAATCCTTAATCAAATTTAAGGGGGTGGTACAGTTGTCATGAACTGGTAACGAGGCAGTAAACATGTTTATTTCTTCTGTAAAGTTGGACATTTTAATATGGGGCCTTGTGGAGATTGACTCACTGTTGGAGTCAGCCTCTAGTGGCCGTTAGAGGAACTGTATGTTTTGTTACTTCCATGTTGGCTTTATTTGCAGCTACAGAGGTTGACGGTTATTGCTAATATCACTGATTTAGTGTATTATCCAATTATTTGGTGAATTTAATGCTTTGGTAAAATTGTTCTTGAAACTTTGAATTGAAACTGAGGGAAGTTTAGTCGAATGAGTCATTGAGCAGACTGAATGAAACCCTGGATCGATCTGACCTCGCTTTGACCCTGTTTGTGTCTCTATGAATAAGATACAGCAGGAAGAGAAAGACTAGGTTTTTCTTTTGAAGATGTGGAAGGTCGAGTAATCAAACTGTAACAGAACAAAAGTACATGATATCCTGGTGGAAATACAGCGTCCTGTCATGAAAGCAGCTCTGGAAACAGAGTTACATAAACACTGTTTAACATTCTGACAGTGTAATACAAGCATCACCAGGTTGAAAGAGGGCTCTATGTCACTTTTATACACAATCGGTGCTGGAGAATATAATTTCATCTTCTTTGCAAACTAAACTCTTTATAACCTTATGTAACCAGTCAAGGTACATCAATCAGATCCTCTGTATTTTCTCCTGGACAAGACAGCAGCAGCACATGGAAGATAAAATATAAAAGGTTTCCAAAAAAACTCATGCAAAATAATATTAAAATGATAATATGAAGAGGATTGACTTTATTAATTCCCAATGGGGAAATTCTTATATATAAAGGAAAAAATTAAACAAGCATGTAAAATTATAAATTAATAGCATTTCACAATTTCAAGGAATGTAGAATCAAATATACAATAGGTTAGAATTTATTAAAATAAATAAATAATGTAAATAACAAAATCATCAGACAAATAAACTTTGTTATGTATTTATTTGAGTCTATTACACTTAAATAATCTTTTTTTTTTAGATTCACAGCAAAAGGCATTGATAATTGATAACAATTGAATAAAAGATAACTGGACTGGACAGGACGTGCCTGATTTGTGCTTTGTTGCATAGGTGAAAAGTCCTAGAAGTTTGTTTTATTTGGGAGTTAAAGGACATGTCCTGATCAAAGATTCCTTATGGCGGTACTGGAGGCCAGGGTAATGCCATCTAGAGTAACTAGATCATTGGATAATGTGTTTCTGAGTTTGGGGCCAAGTCCAAGAACTTCTGTTTTGTCTGCGTTTAACTTTGGAGAATTGGAGGACATCCAGGTTTTTATGTAATTCAGCAAATTGAATAATTTAATCAGGGTTGATTAGTAGATATAATTGGGTATCATCTGCATAACAATGAAAGTTAGTGGAATAATTTCTAATGATGTTGCCTAAAGGAAGGAAGTCAAGTACAGAACATTGTGAAACTCCATCATTAACCTTTGTGTGTATGGAGGATTCATTATTAACATGTACAACGTTTCTACAGTAGCCCAGAAAGGACAGACTAAAACACTAGTTTCACCATTAGATGCCACTAAATCCTACAGACTGGTCCTTTTATTTTGTAATACCGCCTCTTAAACCCAAAATGTCCTCCCATGTCAGTTACGATAATGATAAGACTAAACCCTCCCCGAAGAGTATCACTTTCTTTGACGTCATTATTCAGTCTAACATTGTTAACCAATTTCTGTTGCCCTATTAGTAATGGTTGATGGGTTAGGTAATCATGAGTGGGACAGAACATGATAAGTGTCTATAAAAGCGCTGATAATAAGTAAAATATTATAATTATTATTTTAATTGTGATAAAAAATTAGACATTTCATATTTCAGATATAATTTCACCAATAAAGACATATACATCTGCTATAATATCAAAAATAAATTAAAAAGTAAAATCAAGGGATTGTTTTCTGTTTCTGTGATTACAGTACAAACAGGCTTTGCTAATTCATCCAAATCTAGAGAAACATAGGCTTTGTTTTGCACTTTGAATACAATTGTTGACACTATAATGGCCCTGCAACATGGTTTTTATATCCCTGTACCCCTGACCATCTCCTCTGTCTATTATTATACTGATCAATACTGAGTCTAACTGAACTAAACCTCATCCAGCTACATGGAAATTAACATATGGCTGTTACTCACTGGAATGAATTAATCCCGCACTGCTCCCCTGTCTAGCTGAATTGCTGATCAGTTCTGTCTAATGAGGACTTTTAAATTCAGCTCAGTGATTACACATAAAGAATAATTAATAGCAGATTGACAAAGGCCTATTGTTTTGTCTCATTGTCCTCCAGTCTGCAGCCACAGCCGTCCGATGCCTGCTGGAGTTTCTCATTAACTAACAAAGAGCCTGGAGCCACTAACGCTGTGAAAAGAAAAATAATATGATTATTAGATGATTTATGTTTGGGTTCAGCCTAGAAAATCAGAAGAGGTATGACGCCTCATTTCATAATGGCTTTTACTCTTTTATTAATGTGGATATTTACAGTGCCAGGCCTTTCAAATCTGATTCAATCTGTTTATTCATAGATCCATGTTGAAATATAGCCAAAATATCTCAGTCTGTGTGACCTGTAGTCCCTCAGAAACGCATGAAGACGTTACTTGTGTTTCTCCTGCTCGTGTTAGGAGGTCAAAGGTCGCACATCATAGATAATGAGGGTTGAGTGTTGCTGCTATGCACCATGGGAGACCCAGGTCTCACTCCCAAGTCTTCAAATACTGCCATAAATATATTGCATTAATTATCCCTCTAGTTTCATTTCTAGACACGCTCGCATCAATGTCAGGTGACGTAGTATAGAGAGTGAGACAGTCTGCATATGGAGATGGTGGGGTAGATGGATGGTTCAAACAAACACAGTATTTTAGCCCAGGAGACAGCTGTTTGTATCTCATGTAAACCCAAAAGTGAACAGTTTTTAAATAACGTACCTGATGTCACGTAACGTAACATACATTTAAAGAAGTAGTGCCTAAACCTAATCAAAGAAAGTTTAACCGAACATTACATATTTATTATTTGATAACCGGAAACAGCTGTTTTTTTCTTGTGACTTGGTTTGCGGAGCCCTACACGTCCAGAAATGACGTGAGAGAAATATCTATAGAGTAATTTTTTGAAGCAAAGACTGACTAAGTGGCAGTATTTGATGAGTTGGCAGTAAGAAAATGTTGCCATGGGAAATGGCCGCTCTGTAGGAGCAGCTGTGCCCAGATCTGCTGCTGGGTGTTTCACCTGAGTGTGCGTTTCTGGTTTTGAGGATGTTTGTATGTGCTTCATAAAGATGTGTCATCATATACTGAAAAGGCAGACTGTTATTGTGTGGAAATAATACAGCAAGTATTAATACTCTTAATACTCAATTAATAAGGCTGACAAGAACAGAGAGTTTTAGTGAGTCAGTTCTAAATCAATCAATTTGCTGATGATGTTTTATTCATCATCAAACTGCAACAATTCAGAAACTTGGAAACAGGTAATAGCAAACTGCCTTGACAGTGCTATCCTGAGAGAGAACAGAGAACAAAAACAGAGGAAGCTAGCATACCCTATTAGCTATGCTACACCATTATCTTCCTACTCTGCTGGAGTAGCTGCTCCACAAAAGGTTTTCTGACAGATAAGACATAGAAGTCATGATGCATGATATTGGATTTTTGCTGATGTCTGATATGCTGAAATTTTCCAGTTTATTTTGGACAATTACCAATGCTGATATATGCACACTTTTATAAGCTAATTGCAGAGAACATTGAGTCACTTCTATGTTGGAATTAATGTTTTATTGTCCCTACATGTGTGGTACACGCATGTTTGCTTTCTTAAAATAGATTTTTTTTAAAACATAGAAAATAATATGAAATGCCGCTCAATATTTTTCCTAACAAATTCAAACATACTGTAACATGGCAGTAAACAAACTCACTTTACATTTCCATTTCTTCTGTCTGTTTTTGTATTGTATTCAGGAGCTCAGTGATTGTTGCCACATTTGATCACAAAATGAGTGTTTGATGGTGAAGTGACTCGTACTTGTGTTTTGTTATTGAATGTTAAATTGATGTTTCTCTCTCTGCCTCCTCCAGGTATAAGGCAATAGTGAACCCAATGGACATCCAGACATCCAGCGCTGTCTTCTGGACGTGTCTGAAGGCTGTTTCTATCTGGCTGCTGTCCGTCCTGCTGGCTGTCCCTGAGGCCATTTTCTCACAAGTTGTCTCCATGCAGGTAAAATAAAGACACTGAAAATGTTACATTACATATATTAAGAACACATAAAACTAGACAGGAACAAAAGAAGACACTTTGGGTTGGTGGATAGAAGATAATTGATTGTTGAGTCTCATTCCCAGAGTCTGTATTTGACGCCCCGAGAATGAGATTCAACAATAAAAATCTTTCTTGGTTGTTTTCATAAAAATTACCTACTGCAGCTTTAATAAATGTTTAATTATTCAACTTAGTCGATTATGAATTTTATAATGTTGACCACATTAATCTTTTTTATATATATAAAACACTGGTGGTATATCAATATGCAGAACAGTTTTGCTATGTGGGTATACGCCATCCTATGATATCATGCCCGGTTTGTGACACGAAAATCTACCAAACATTGGCTCAATTTGACCACAACCACATAATCTGATGCTAACAGCTCCTGCTGGTAGGCTGTTTGTGACATTCAGACTAAATGTGTGTTGTTCATCACTCCCTGCTGAAGGCTCATCAGCGAGCAGCATCGTCTCAGTTGAGTTTCCCAGCAGACAAACAGCCATAAACCCCTTTAGAGTCAGATTTATGAATGACAACTGCGTCCATTTAACTCTACAATCTGTTTTATGATCTTTACTGATGTGTTGTTATGTCTGTCCTCTCCTCCCCTCCCATTTCCTTCCTACTTGTTTCCTTTCCTCTTCCTTTTTTCATTATTTCTTTCTTCAAATTTTTTCTACTTTTCTTTTCATCCTGCCCTCCATTCCTCTCCTTATTTCCTCTCATATACTGGTTTCCTCTCCTTTTCTCTCTTTTCCTTTCCTTGTCTTCTCTCTTCTTCTTATCTCATCACTTCCCTTCCCCTCCTCCCATCATCCTCTCCTTGTCTCCTTATCTCATCTCTTCCTCTTTCCTCCTCCTCTCCTCCCCTCCTTCTATGCCCTCCCCTCTCAGGGTAACAGGGACAACAGTAACGTCACCTTTGTGAATTGCGTGCCGTACCCGCTGTCCAATCAGATGCATCCTAAGATTCACTCAGTGATGATCTTCCTGGTTTACTTCCTGATCCCTCTGGCCATCATCTCGGTGTATTACTACCACATCGCCCGCACGCTCATCAAGAGCGCCCACGACATGCCAGGCGAAGTCAGCGAACACACCAAGAGACAGGTGAGCGACGGATTGAATGGATGTGCACTAAAGTCTGTGAAAGTAATTTTGAAAAAAAAATTTAAACGGTTGAACAAAACAGTTCATGCTACAGATGATTTTAATTAAATTTAAATGTCCAATTTTAAAGTCTGATTCTTTCAGATTTGTCCTGTTCAGTTTATTCGGAAACAGCTGTGGTTATCAGAGGTGTGGACCAGGGGGCGTTTACACTTGCACTGTCTTTCAGAGGCTGTAGTGGGTATCATGTGAAACCTGATGACCTAATGCATCCATTGTTACCAACCATGTCATGCTAGCAAGGGATAGCATAACCACTGAGTATTGATTTTCTTCCCTGTATCAACTGAATATGACAAAACAAGACAGAATAATACAAATGTAACTCTCCTGTGGTACTGGTTAATAGTGTTATATGGTAGAGAGTGCCTTGGTAGCCAAATGGTGACCTTTATCGTATGTCATAACCCTCTCTCTTCCCTATTCCAGACGGCCTCGTCACGGTCTAAAAAAACCCCCAAAATGAGGTGCAGCCTGTCGCCCCAAAATGTGTTACATGCTATGGAAGTGCAATTTATTTCTTGATTAACTCAGTTGCACTTGTTGGTGTAAATTTAATAGATTATTACTCTTTTGTTAGGTCTCGAAACTCAAAGTTTAGGACTTGAGTGCAAAGACTTAAGACTTGCTTGTGACTTGAAAACAATGACTTGGTCGCAACTCTGGGGCTACTGGTGGAAACAGAAAGTTTCTTTAATAAGGCTACACCCTCCTACAATGGCACAAACACTGCACCTGATTGGACAAATGCCTTCTGCTCCTGGATCTCAAACCAGACCAACATGGCGGCTTGTTTGGGATTTCTTACTCTTGCAAAAGATAAACAGTCTGGAAGTTTAGTTTAACTGGGATCGACTGGGACTTGATGCTTTTTGCACCCACACCTCCCACAACTTTAGAGACCCCAGTAAATATTTCAGCCACGAGGGAGGTTTAGTTGAGGACTGTGTCAGCCACAGTGAGTAATCACTTTACACCAGCTTGATCTTCACAGATGGAGGAGAGGTCAGAAGGAGGAGGAAGCTGAATTATTAAAGACCAAACAGCAGCAGCAGCAGGTCAGATCAGGTGTACTTGATCAATGATGGAGTGGCAGAGCTGGGAGTCACTGCTATCTCTGGGGATTACCATCATAATAACCACTGTGAAAGATTTAGTCCCACAGCACTCCAGAGTCATGTTCTCACCAATCTGCCACTCCACATTCCCCCTTTTAACAGAAATACAGTTTCTATTTAGTAATTATTCCCAGGTGTTTCCAGCTTGTGTTAACTTATGCTAAGTTATGCTAAATTGCTGTCAGTGGTGCTTCCTGCAGATATTTCACATTAAAAGTCTCCCAGGAAAGGAAGGGAGTGTGCCTATTGAGCTTCTGGAAGACTTGAAGACCTACTTTTAATGAAACATCTGTGCAGAAGTTGTTGACATCAGCATCAGCAGTAGTAGTGGAAGTTAATAGACATTTAGTATTAACAATGAAAGCAGTAGTATAAGTATTACTGAGAGCTGTAGATGGGAATGTAGTAGCAGTAGCACTTTAGTTTAGACTTGAATGTGAGACTTGACTGGACCTGCCCTAAATGAGATTTCAGTCCTGGTTGATTTGGCGACACCTGTAGTTTCTGGTAATACTACAAGTTCCAGAATTCTTGGGCAAATGAATAAAGAAGTTGGGCAATAATTGGCCTTTCTATCATTCTGTGAGTGACTGATTTTATGTTGCACACAGCATCAGTCTGTGAACAGCCGAAAGTGAAAGTAGTTGGTTACCTCACTGAGAAGTTGACGGTGCAGCCGTCACGGTGTCACCTGCAGCTCCTCCTCTAACAGCTCACTGTGGCTCCTTCTTGTTCCATTATCCCTGCAATATGTCAAACTGAGCAGCAGTCAAAAAAGTGCTGAAAATGACCAGTGTCTTCTATTGTAGATGCATTTTTGATGCACAATAGCTGTCAGTGCTAATCTCACTGATAAACACACTCTCACTGATCTCACTCTCACTCTTTCTGTGGTTACTCCATAATAAAAGTCAACTTGTGTTTCACCATGTGAAGTGAAGTAATGTAGAGCTGCAGCAGTAGGAAATGTTCAGTTTGAACCACTTGACCCGGAAAGTCGGAATTTCCGAGTTTCCTCTTGGGAATTCCAACTGGAATGCACCATAATGGCATTTCATTCAAGAATGTCGCCACAGATACCCAGTTCATAATACTGCAAATATATAAATACTGTGAGACTTTAAGACTCAGACATGTTTCTAATGACTTAAGACTTAATTTGGACTGTCAAATGACTCAAAACTTAATGGCAACTTTATTTCTATTTTTTTTATCACTTAAGGCTTGATTTACATTACTTTACATTTGACTTTAATACTTTCAACTCAGGTCTAAAGTCAGTTGAAACAAGTTAAAGACACTAATGTGTTTCATCTGACTCATCTGGACGTTTCAGATAAGCAGTGAGTTGACTAGACTTTTTTTCAAAATGACTTAGTACTTGACCTCCACTTAGACAACCATTCAGGCTGGTTTCAAATGACTTGTGAGTTAACATACACTTAAATACACCAAAAATATCTTGAGACTTGACTTGGACTTGTCCTAAAAGACTTAGTAATTAGTGATATACCATCGTAATTTCTAGGAGACAGTTCTGTAGTTCAAGTATGTAACCATATAAATGCTGTAGTTGTTATTAAGTTACTTGCTTTCCATTTTTCATACTTTGTGGAGCCCATTAACTGAAGCTGTCAGCCTAAAAACACATAAATACTGGAGGGGGAGGTAATTTCAGTGACATAAAGAGCAGAGCTGCTGCAGCCCTGTGTGGCTCAGCAGGTCTGAAGGGACACTCTGCAGTGAAGTTGACCTCGACAAACTCGGGGTTAATGGAGAGTCGCTGACTAACAAACAGTGAATCAACTTGTGACGCTGAGAGAGGAGGATGATCGTCAGAGAAAATCACTGAAACGTGAAAAACACTCGGTGTGTGAAGCACAGTTTTAGACAAGCAGTCAATAGTGGAGCAAAAGGATCAGAAGCAAAAACAAGCTGAGAGAAATATTCCTGTGATCATTCAGAGGAAAATGTACCAATGTGAGCTTATTGATCCATTCATCTGTTTCCACAAACCATCATATCTACTTTGTGAAGAGGAAAAAAAAGCAACCACTTACCTCCGTTTCCCAGATCTCCAGTATCAGATATGGCCAAATGTATGTGGACACCCCTGTCTACACACTTAGAGGTACTTTTGGCTTTTTCCTGGTTCTGGGTTTGCTGGGACACTAAATATTATATATAATGTCATATATCATGTTCTGCCAACTTTGCAGCAAAGAGAAGACGCTTCCCTGTTTTTATGCAACATTGCCTGGTCCAAAAACAAATGCTTTTGTAACACTTTATTTTACAGGTCCTTAAAGCTGCAGCTTTTATGAAAATAATTTTGTTTTATTTGCTGAAACTTTCACTTCATCCTGACAGTAGTACATGAGATAATCTGTGAAATAATCTGGTTCCTCTCGCTCCTCCTGTTGCTCCTAACGGCATTTGTAAGAATCCACCGGGCCCAAAAGAAAACAACCAATCAGAGCAGAGAAAAACAGAAGACACTTTAACCTGAAAAAGTTATCTTTTTCTGAGCATTTCTGCTGCTTAATGTTTATTCAGAATGTTAAGTCACAATTATTTGGTCATGATCATAATTTGTTAGTATTAAAGGTAGTAGAGCAAACTTACATTGGCTGAGGAAGAAAATAGACCACAGCAGATCAAAAACAAAAGATATAGATTCTTATGTACCCGTCTCAACAAATACAGTAACATCCTTTTCCTTCCTTTTATGTCGTCTAATTTATCTCATTACAGTTAAATCCATCTCTGCCTCCTTGTGTGGGAGTGATGCTATCAGTGCTTTCTTAAATGAGAAAAGCCTCTTCGCACGCTGGCCTGTATCTTCACATCTATAGAGGTTGGGAGCCAATTGCTACATTAACTGCAGACGCCCACATCAATACCAAACACGCCTATTATCTTATCTGAGAGCAGAGCTAATTCATTATGGTCCCAGAGATAAGAAATACATTAGAGGGCGCACACACAGCAGCTGCATCCACACACACACCACATACACATGCACACACACACACAACAGAGTGGGAAAAATAAATTTCAGACCACACCGTCAGAAAACGCTCACATAGATGTTTTTTGTCTCTTAGTTTAGCGAACTTTAAGAGGACTTTTCTAGTATTAGTAGAATAGTAGTCAATTATTATTAATGTTATTATAAAATCTACACAAGGCATTCACGCACACACATATATATACATATAGACAGATATACTCATAAATACATGTATTTAAAGTAAACAAGAGTTTGTGCAGGAAAGATAAGAAGCTAAAAACAGTGATAAAAAGGTATTTATATGTATCTGAGAGTTAGAAGTTATCTCAAGTGTGTTTGTGTGTGTGTGTAAAATGGACTTTAAATGCCATTAAAGAAAACACTCATATGATGGCTCCGTGCTTCCAGACAGAAGGATGTACTTAACTGTAATGAAATGATTCAGATGAGACACATTACAGTGACAGAGAAAGTGATGGAGGAGGATTCCTATAACGTTCAGCAGATGTTGGAGGTTAAATGTGTTATTCCTGCTGAAAAATGGGGAGAATTAATCACAAGAGTGATATGACGTTGTTTCCTCAGCAAGAACTTTAATGTACTTTTTCTACAAAAATACCACAATTGACAAAGAGAAATAAGACGGGAGTAGAGAGTGCACGCTGTATTGATGTTACAAGCATATCCACAGTATTTCTCTGAGATAACTCACTTTCTCCTATCGTATATCATTAGATTATGTTACTGTCAAGCACAAAAGAGTTTAAGCTCACTAAACTCTCACAATTTTTCACCAGAACACTAAACTG